CCCCCCTCCCTCGGACCCAGGAGTCCGGGTCCGCAGCCCCCTCCCTCGGACCCAGGAGTCCAGGCCCGCAGCCCCTCCCCCTCGCACCCAGGAGCCCAGGCCCCTGCCCCCTCCCTCGGGCCCGCAGCTCACGCCGCGTGTTCTCCGCGGTCCTTAGGTCGCAGCAGGATGTCAGACGCGGAGGAGCAAGAGTATGAGGAGTGAGTGATGCCGGCGGGGGCGCGGGGGCCTGGAGAAGTGGAGACCCCCCCTCCCATGCGTCTAACTCTCCCCTCCTTCCTCCCCCCACCCCCGTGTGCCCAGGGAGCAGCCCGAAGGTGAGTGGGGACCGGGCCGGCCCTGGGTGTCGGGGGACGCGCGGACCCAGGGGCCCTTCCGGGGAGCGGGTGGAGGCGCCCCGGCCGACGCCCCTCCGGGTCCGAGCCGGCTGAGCGGCGCCCCGGGCCGCCCCCACTTCCGGAAGCCCCCGCCGCTCTAACGCCCTCTCCCCCCTTCCAGAAGAGGAGGCTGCCGAGGAGGAGGAAGGTGAGGCCCGGTCCCCGCCGTCCGGAGCGGGACGCGGGCCGGCCGGGGGCGGGGCGGGGCGGCGGGCGGGGGGCGGGGAGGGCGGCCCCCGGGCCCCGGCTGCCGTCCCGCTGACCGCCTCTCCGCTCTCCCCCGCACCCTCCTCTCTCTCCCCGCCCCGCCCCCGGCGTGGCCGCTGCCCCCACCCCGCTCGCCAAGCCCCGCTTCTCCTCCTGCCTCCTGCCCAGCCCCCGAGGAGCCGGAGCCGGTGGCAGAGCGAGGTAACCACGGCTGCTTAGCTTCCCGAGACCGATTTCGGGGGCCTGGGGACCCCCGAATCCTCGGGCCCTGTCCTGGGCCAGGACTCCCTGCGCGCCCCTAACCCGCCCCAGTCCCGGCCCTTTAAGCCCCGAGAGCCTGCGCGCCCTCTGGTGGCCACGAAGGGAATGGCCGCGCGGCGGCGTTAACCCATTCCCTTCCTTCTTAAAGGGACCGACACCCAAGGCTTCTTCCCCAGCCTGGAGAAAAACTTTAGAAGGGTTGGATGTTTGCGGAGAGGCACCCCTCCCCACGTTCGCCCCCGACCCTGTCTGTTATTTTTCTCCTTCATATACATTCAAAGGTTGGGGCCTGGGTTGCAGAAGGGGCTAGCACTGGGGTCTGGATTCCTGTGTCCCCAAGGGGGAGGGGGCAGGGACACAGTCCTGGGAGGCCTGGGTCTCCTGGATGAGGAGAGGGTTTGGGGCCCTGCACTGCTGGTCTGGATGGAAGCGGGCAGGAGCTCTGGGTATGTAGAAGGAGGATGTTCTGGGGGTTTGGACCCCTGGGCTCCCAGAGAAGTGGGTAGGGGATCCCCATACCAGTCCTGAATGTATATCTGACGCGTGTGATCCTCTGTCTCCTACGGCCACCCTGATTTCCCTTCTCCCCTTCTCTCCCTCCATACCCCTTTCCCGGAGCAGCAGGAGGAGGCATCTGGGCTCCTGGGGGGGGCTGAGGCTTGGGGGGGGTTCCCCCTCGGGATGTGTCAGGCCCACCCCTATGAACTCTTGCTAATTATCTCTTTGTATCCCCCCATCAGAAGAGGAGCGCCCCAAACCAAGGTGAGATCCTGGGGGCTGGGTGGTCCCAACCATGTCCTCCTAAATATGCCCCCAGAAATAAGGTGCAAGAAGGGCAAAGAAAGAGGGCAGGGAA